AGAACGAATGCAACTTTGCATAAATAATAACGGAGATTATTTTGAACATTTAATAAAATAAACATTTAAACATATACATTCTTTTTCTTTTTTATTGGAGATTCTAAGAACTTTCCTGACGACCTAACTAGCAATCAGTCGTTACTAAATCTCCACCGTCTTTATCCCATAGTTGGAATCGAGTAAAAATCTAGTAATCTAGATGAATCGGGCGATAAGATTTTTTTCAGTTAATGGTATCAATTTCGCCGTCTCGGCAGGAAAGTTGAGGACACTAGAAGTACTCCTTCTGGAGCAACACCTGTGTTCCTGCCAATCACGTCCTGAAACAGAGAAGAAAAGTGCAAATGATCAAAAGGTAATCCGTAGTTTTTATTAAACATACTTTAAGTATTTTCATTAGCTCAGTTGCCCGGATTCGGGATGGATGTGTACTTGGCAGAGAATTCTCGTATATTGTATATGCTTCTGTTGCATACGTTGCAAATTTGTTACTTTTCCTGGAGAATAAATAAGCTAGTGCAAGATTATAACATATGTCGCCGATGCGCGGGTGTGTCAGTGGCAACGTTTGCCTGAAAATACCTAAACTTTCATTCAACCATTTTCTAGCTTCACGATAATCTTTATTTCTAAAATGAACTCCTGCGATATTTTGATAAATTATTCCAACTGACACAGAAGCGGTAGTATGGCCGCCTTGTTTAGCGCAAATCAATGCTAAATGGTAATGGAAGAGAGCTAGGTCAAAATGCTCGTTTGAGGCTAGATACGCACATCCTAGTGCATCATGTGTGTCACTCATGAGACTGAACGCCTTTGCCGTTCGATGCTTGAGTGGCACCGTACGTCCAATATCAACAGCATACTTTCCAAATTCTATTGCCAGTTCATACTTTTCTTGTTCACGATACACTTGACACAAATCCGTACAAGCGGCAGCTAAATCCGTATAGTCTACCGGGACTTGCTCTAGTATAATATCCAGTATTCTTTCGGAGTGCCGAGCTGCTTCATCAAAATTTCCTTTAGCAAGAGCTGTCCTTGCAACACCACTAAGACGTTTAATGTGTTCCACCCTACTGAATGTTGGTTCGTTTAAAGTTTCCAAGAAAATTTTCTCGGCCTTGTCGTATTCACCTAGTTGCAGCAGAAGCTCAGCAAAAGTCGAACGATTTGTTTCTGTCGTTGATTTGAACAGATCTCGTTGTAGTGACTTCAAAGTATTGCTAAATTCAAGTGCCGTGTCGCTGCACAGCTTTAATCCTATAATATGCGCATCCAGAGCTGCGTCACATTGTAACGATGTTACACGCAATATTGTTCCAGGCATAAACAAAACTTCCTGTTCATGCGGCATTTGACTTACCGCGGAAATATCAGCAAATGGCGAAGAATCTACAAATTTATCAGCGTCAATTTCTAACAACACCGATCGGAACCGGTGAGTGTCTGCAACACCGCCGAATATGAAACCTAATGCTTGCTGTCGATCAAGCGTAGTGGAGAAAAATGTATTAACTGATAAAATCTCTTGCTCTTGGAAATGCATGATTTCGTTTTTTGACATGGCTTGTCCACGAAAAGTACGCAACACTCGGGAACCTTTATTTTGTCGTTGATCATCCAGCAGTATCTGCAGCTGCACATACAAATCTTTTATAAAGATTCGAAACGCGAACAAACTATCGGCGTGTCCGCTCCGTAAAGCTTTATTTAGCATTCGATATAAACAAAAATCTTTCGTATACCACTTCAAGGCATCAGCTGCACTGTACGTCTGCTGAAATTCATCAATTTTCTCCTGTTGAACAGCGTTAGTTCTGTACACTCTTCGCATTAAATCCACAAGTTCCTTCAGGTCTTGTTTGCGTGACTGATCGCTCAGACGTGACAGACACTGAATTATAAGCCTAGACCAGATTATATTCGGATTCTGATGAGACAGAGTTCTGTCGGGGTCGCCGAACACAGTGTATGAAAAGACTTCATCTGGTTTCTCAAGCTCTTCCCAATCATCTGAAATTGCTTGTACTAACTCTTCGGCATTGTCAATAATGGGTTTAACCTAAAAGTGCAAACTGAGGAAAAAGAACTCCCTCTCGCTTCAGAGTAAAAACTATGCTATCGTGACAGAAGTCTAAAAATACCAGAGCATTTTCGCTAGCAAGGCATTTACTACGTTCGAGAATTTCCGAAGATCTCAAAGGCTCTGCACTTACACCGAACCAGAACTTACCTTCTCTGAAACCTTCAGTAAATCTTCAACGTCACGATCTGTTCCGTCCGAAGAATAAATGAAAATTTTCCTCAGATTCGGCATAGCATGAACAAAAGGTATGAAGAAGTGCGCCATTGATATAGCAATAATTAAAACAATTGATCCATCGGTCGATGATTGCAGCTTTCGAATTGCTGTTTCACATTCTTCTACCGTTTCATAAACTTCCATCAGCTGAATGATTTCACGTAATTGTGCTTCAAGGCCACTTTGCTGACTTACATTCGGATCCAACCAAACTAATTTGTATGTCATTTGTTTTTGTGTTATGCTGTCATAGTAAAACGAAGCGGTCTGTCCTGTCCAAGTCAGTAGTGGCTTAAAAGGCATAGTCTAAAACAGAGGAGAGACAGATACAACAATCAACAAAAACCTATGATCAAATCTTCATTAAGGTGAGGATGAACGGCGAGCGTTGTGATTACGTTAAATGCAGTGTAGGGCATGCAAACAGATAGGTCATAGTGCTTTCTCTCATGGCAGAAGATCTCTCGCTCAACAGAGGAATATTTGCTATTCTAAAACGTAAAGTGCCAAGTGGGAACGTGTCTCTTCTGGCGATGAGCTGCTTAGATAGGTGAAGTGAAATGTTTCCAACCTGTGCTTGTTTGAGTTTAACAATTTGTTAAAATACTGAACATTGTTTTCTACACAGTGGCTTTTTCTAGTGTTGCGGCGGAGCTTATTAATGTAGTATATTGCCTGTAAAAAGTTAACTTAGTAGTATGAAAAGGAAAAAAAGTTTGCTGCACTTCTATCGTAAGTTGGAAAAAACCAACTGGTACAGAATCAAAAAGAAATATTTTCATAACACATTTGTGATCCTCAATAATAAGTTCTGACAACGAAAGGAAGAGAGAAACAGAGATTTCGCTCACATGAAAAAAATTGAAACTTATTATTAACAGTGTTTTTTTCCAACAATGTGCAAAAGGCCAAAACGTTCCTACGTCATCTCACAAAGCTATCTACTCTTTTGTTTTAAAAAGTGAAGCCAGAAATCAGATGCCATTCGATTCCCCTTGAGAAGCAGAACAAAAGTATGTATCCCCTTTCCGAAGCTCTTTCCTCGTTCTTTAGAAAATAATTGTTTGCTGAAAAGTAGGTGTTTCTGCCTAAAATCGTGCAGGTCATCCCGCAATAAAATCGTCAGTTTTAGCTCGAAATCGATGAAAGAGGGTGTAAGCCTAAGAAGCCATTTCAAGCTATCGGTTGTTTTGATTATTTGTGATGCCTGTTCACAATGATTCTTAGGTTTATCACTGTGCTGAACAATTGAGCGTGATCATATAAAATTCTTGTTCCTTGAGTTCCAAGACCCATGTAAGTTTTGGTGACTACTAACCGTGGAGTATAGTGGGAGAAGCTACTGGAATGAGTAGTAGGAGCGATCGAAAATAAAAAACCGAAAAAAACAAGTTTCTCTTTCTTTTTGTGCTGTTCTCATATTCATTTTTAACATAATCGTTAGGTCATGTTACACGCAATATTGTTCCAGGCACATACGTTTTGACCATGAGATTTAACTTTATAAAACTTTGATGAATGTTCAGGTCGTAAATACATACCTGCTTATTTTCTGGCCTATTGTTAATGGCCTGACCATCGAGTGTGATAACGTTGTTACCACCTTGTTCTTCGATGTCTCAGTATTCGCAAGCGCTTTGCGGTCAACATACAACTGTTTGTTAGATTGGCTTATCAACGGACATCTTGTTTTAATATGTGAAACCGGTTGTTTGTTTCTATTTTGTTGCTACACACACGCGCTTCGTGTGCTACACTTCACCGCTCTAATATACGACTGAGCTTATAACAGCATTATTTTCTATCTTTCTCAACCTTGAGTGACGCTCTCTATGTACCACAACCATTCTTACCCTTTCGGCTTTTATGAAAAGAAATAATCAAACGGACGCATAATTACAGGCAAAAAGCTTATTAATTAAAAATTATGTATTTTCTCACATGGAAAATTAATTATTTAGGAGTAAAGTTTTGAAAGATCACCTTTTAACCATATTTGTGACTATGTATATTTGTGAGACATTTCCTGACACTTAGTTTCGCGACAGCTCTCGGTCAGGTTTTTGAAGCCTGTGGTAGGTACCCTTCATGATTTTCGGAAAATTTTTTATTTTCGATTTCAATTAAAAGCATCCAGACATATGTAATCGACGATGCTGTAGTCGATTTTAATCGAATTTTTACGGCTGTCTTTGGCTTTCAAAAGTTGGTTTTCGTCGTAGTCGATGCAGAAAAGTTTGCTGAATCCACCTGTGAAGTCAGTTTTTGAAAAAAATACCAACTATGGGATAAAGACGGTGGAAATTTAGTAACGGCTGATTGCTAGATTTCTTCTAGTTGCAATAATCGATCGATTTAACTATTGCTAGTCACACACACAGACACATCTAGTTAAAAGTCCATTTTCCAACTAGTAATCCAAATGACAACTAGTCGTGTATCGCTCGATTACAGACGAAATGTGTCTAGAGTTTTCCCATATCTGATGTTTGCTTGAGTGATTATACCTAGGATAGCTATACACCAGTTGCAGTTTTTTACCAGTTAACTGTAACTGTGAAAACTGTAACTGGCATAACTGTGTAACTATAAAGCTGTAACTGTAACTGTTCTTAACTGTAGGCAAATATTCTAGAGCGAGTTAGTCTTCTACGATTTGCATACATTTTAAGAATAGAGGTATCCTTAAAATGTATGCAAATCGTAGAAGATTAACTCACTCTAGAATATTTGCCTACAGTTATGAGCAGTTACAGTTTTACAGTTGAACTGTAACCGGTGCATGTCTCACCAAGGACATTCAAGTATTAGACATGTATATCAAGAGCTTTAATGATCTTGAAAATAAAGCGAGAAACAGGGAACACAGTACCTTGGGGGTACTTGTCAAACAACTAAACCACACAACCATAGCGGCTCTTAACTCCTTGAGGACTGAAACCACATATATGTGCAAAAGTAGAGCCACCCCTGTAACTCAAGAACCATAATAGCTAGGAACTTCTAATATTGTGTGATCATAGCTCTTACCGAATGCCTATCATCCACCAAGTTTGGGCCTCTTTTACTGGATGGTTCGTGAGATATAATCGATTTATTTCTTTACTTCAGAGGTAAGTTTGTAATCTTTCTGACCAAAGTTTCACCTACGTTTTTCGGAAGCATAGGGTTCTATGATTATTTTTGTGTGAGGTTTGGTTGCGATGTCTGTAGTTAACATGTAACACTAAATGTCTGTGTCGGGTTAGGTTGAGTTGTCACAGAGCTGGGCAACTCCAACTCCGGAGTTGAGGATCTTTTTAGTGGGGTTGGAGTTGAAATTTGAGGATGTTGGAGTGGGGTTTTTGAATTTTTATTCTCAACTCCGTTTTGCATTTTTGGAAATATTCAATAGTTGTAAAACTGATCTTCTAAGTGATTGAGTGGCTGTATTCACGAGTGAATTCGAAAGTTCATTGCGCTTTCCGGCCGGAAAAAGCTCAAAAAGGTCCAAAATCCTGCTAAAAACGGAAAAATCTTCCTTACAAAAGTGAAGCAACCGGAGTTGAGCTTGAGTTGAGATTTTTGTTGACGGAGTTGAAGTTGAAGTTGAAAAATTTTGAGTGGAGTTCGAGTTGGATTGGAACTTTGAAAACGGAGTTGGAGTTGAAAGTCAGCGGAGTTGCCCAGCTCTGAGTTATCATGTGTATTTTCCAGGGTCTCACTAGTGATCAGTAGTTCTAGATGTTTGGTCGGGTTGGGTTATCGTGTCTGTAGACATCCTATATCACTAAATCTCTGTAACGGATTAGGTTGGGTTGTGCTGAGTCGTCATGTGTCTTTTCCAGTGTCTCACTAGTGAGCAACAGGTCTAAATGTTTGGATCGGATCAGGTTGGGTTATCATGTCTGTAGCGAACATCCGTGTATGCGATTCTATATAAAACATTTCAGCTTGTTGACAATGATGGATGGGATAAAGCTCGTTTGTATTGGCTTATTACACGCAACTGGTCTATATCCGTATTCATAGAGAAGTAGGACAGCTATGGGAAAATTTTAAAATACTGGAATTTGTGACTTTTCATCAAGAAGGAACCAATCATAGTGGGGTAGTATGTGTCGTGGTAGGTAAACATCTAAAGGCAGTTAGAATTGAAGCATGAATTGGAAAAGTAGATATAGTAAGATTATCTGAACCCATCCGAGTGATAGATACTTAGTGGCTTAATAGTCAGGATCCAGATCTCGATGACCTTTTACCATACGTAATTGAAAATACAGCACTAGCAGGAGGTTTTCACGGAATTTTCACGGAACTGTAATGGGATGGAGAATAAATCACAAAACAGACAGTAGAGGATGTATTTTGCAAAAATGATGGCCTCTGGAATCGAAGTGCGCGAACTCCCTGTTTTCGGCAAAAAGTGTTACTGATTTTTATCGCTTTGTTTCTGTTTACGCGAAGAGAAAAACCAAACAAATAATCAAAGAACGTCTTATTTTCATAAATGAGGAAGAAGAACTGAATACAACAAGTCAGATGGAAGTAGATACTAATAATGGTGATAATAATGAAAAAGAAAATAGTGAAAAAATAATTGTTTTATGTGAAAGTAATTTCGATAGATGACACAAATGATGATACTTTAGCGTCAAGTGATGAAAATATTAATTTTGATAATAAAGAAGAAGAACTTATGTACAAATGTGAAAAATATAACGATAAAGCAGATGAAGAAGTTGAACAGGAGGAAAAAGAATATGAGTAAGTGTTGTTGCTTTCATTTTTTGCTCATTTATGTTTTCTTATTTGTTTTGTTTTCCTTTTCATCTAGACATCTAAATATTTTGTTAACAGAAATAGAAAAAAAATCGACAACAAAAGAAATTGCGACTGTTTTGTGTTAATGCAATATAAAGATCGATTATCCAAATCTTGTATTAGTGATATTTGTACATTATTAAAAAAATTAAATATTGAAGAAGCACCAACATCATATTATCAAATTAAACAGGTATTAATTACTGATGACGAACCAAAAGTAACAATAAAAACAGTATATATTTGTGAATCTTGTTCTAAAGAAACAAAATCATTAAATCATTGTGATAATAAGAATTGTGATTATCATCAACAAGCAAAAATCCATCCATGCATATTTAATTATTTTAATATAAAAGATCAATTATCAACAATATTAAGAACTGAAAAAAATATTTAAATTTGGAAATAAAGAATTTTTATATGGCACAAAGAAAACAACAACTGTACCATTATCGTTAACACCAACAACTACATCTACATTGTCAACAACAACTGTATCTGACATAACAAATGCTGAACAATACATATATTATATTACAGAACAAAAACACAAAAAAGAAACCATTTATCACTTTAACATTAAATGTCGATGAAATTGATGCATCATCAGATGAGACCAAGGGGGGGAAAGCGCACTCCGCCACTCCAGTCACTCCGGGGAGTGAAGCACACTCCACCGCAGCAAATCCGAACTCTCCAGCTTAAAATATATTAAAAAATCTTGAGAAATACTTCAGGGTCCTTTTTTGACCTTGATCTCTAAAAAAACTCCTAAACGGTAAGACTTGGAGCCAAAAAACTTTTCATTCTCGTAACTCATTAAATCTAACATGTATGGAGAGTTTTGTTATAGATCGGATGTACGATGTCGGAGGTAGTTTCTGAGGGAACGGGGCCCTTAAAACAACTATGGAAGATATCGTATATTTCATAAAAAAGTGTACAAAAATGTCGGATTGATTGTTTTCAGTAATCGGATGCCAGGGAACTTTTTTGTTTATGATCTTAATACCTCATTTAATTCTGTTTCATTTTCACTGTCACAATCACTTTCACTATCACCATATTGTTCATTATCCGTTGTTGTTTCATTGTCCGAATCGGATTCAGATTCATACTGACCGGCAAGTGTTGAGTGATCATTTGTATTACTCAAATGATTACGTACATATAAATTCAAATCATTTAATTCTAACGCTTTGTTTTGTTTCAGTAGAGCTGACATTTTCAATTTAACGACTATCTTTTTTGCTTGTTGATAAGCATTATTGATAATAGTTTCAATACACGTTATTGTCAAATGAGAATTATCATCAATTAAATTAGATGAATGTTTTTTATTAAAAAATCAAAAAAAATCAAAAATAAATTATGCTCTGTAAATCGAGGTGTGAGAAACCGTGGTTTTCTGAAATCCCTACTTCTGGCACTTTTAAGACCATTTCGAGTTAGTCATCAGACAGAATATCATTCAAAACCCATACGTACTGAGATTTATAAAAATTCGTTCGGCTCTTCATACTGTAAAAATTGAAAATTTTCTCATGATACACACCTCTTCAGTAACAGGATAGAGGAAGACCACTTTGTTAATCCAGAAGCCTTTGATTTAACTCTGAGGTGAGAAAAATTCCTTAAGTTCACGCTACTCCTAGCCATTCCGGGCACTCCACGCAGTGGCGGAGTGCGCTTTTCCCCACTTGCATAAGACACTGTGATCTATACTCTTGTTATTAATGAAATACATCTAAAACAACGTGATAAATTACGTAATACAATTATTGTTCGTATAATATTCTTTCATTTTAATCTTTCATGTTTGCTTCATTCAGCTTTTTTAATTTCTTTTTCAAATTTAGCCTCGAATTTCATGTGGTTGCAGAAAAATTAATCGTGATGAAGCTGGAATAATGTTGCATTTAATCATTGAAGATTTAAGACGTTTAGAATGTCCAAATTTGTTTTATTTAAAATTTGATGGTTATTTACATTATTTATCGTGTTATTTAATGGCTAGTGTTAATGACAAACCGGCTCAGGCATTGATTCAGAATATGGGTGAGCCAACAGCATTATATGGATGTGGATTTTGTGAATATAAGAAGAAAATAAGAGGCAAACCTTTCTCTTGTGTAGGAAAGTCATGCATTCTTTGTTTATTTTTGTTTTTTTGTTTTAGGGCAAACAATAAAAACTTCAAAAAATGGTCATGTACAATTTTTTTCTGTACAAAGAAATCAACAATATCAATTAAGAACCAATGATGAATATGTTAATGCTTGTAAAGAACTTGAACAAGCACAGTCAAAAGGAAGAAAAAGAAAAGTATCAATGGAAGATGAAAAAGATATATCCAAAGGATCTAAAGGCAGTTGTGAATTATCAACACGTACTTATTTTGGTCGTGGTAGTAGCTTTTTATGTGACAGTTTACACAAGTTATTTTATGGCTTAGGAGTATGTATCGAAACAACAAAAGAGATGTGTTTCCTCTTGTGGTTATATTTTATATTTTGTTTATTTAATGTTTTTTAGAAAAGAGTTCTTCATTTATGGTTTTCATTCGACGATAAAAATGAACCTTGGTCAATGTTTTATAAAACAGATCAAATACAAAATTTATTGTCAAATTTTCGCTATCCATCAACAACGTCAAGAATATCACGTACAATAAATAAATATAATCATTTTAAAGCAAATGAGATTTGAAGATTTTTGTTATTCAATTGTTTTGTATTACAAGATATATTAGTTGAAGAATATTATTATCATTGAAAATTATTTAGTTTTGCTTTACATTTAGCCGAAGGGCGAGAAATAAATAATCAATAATTAAAGAAATTAAATACATTAATGCATGAATTTTTATATCGTTTCCCAAATTGTATGGACTTAGACATAATGTTCAACCAGTTCATAATTCATACCATTACCGAAATGTGTTCGTGAATATGGACCATTGCCAATATATTCAACGTTTTATTTTGAAGCTACATTAGGTAAGAAAGACTATTAAAATTGATTTTTTTGAATTTATCCCGCTTTTTATTCTTTTCTGTTAAATAGGTCTTTTATCTGGAACAATATATGGTACATCAATGCAAGCTGCTGAATTAAACAATACTCCAGATTTATTACGTGCGGCCAGTTTTGAAGCATTAAATACAAAAAAATCAAGTCAGTTATAATCATGATTTGAATCATTAACAAATTTCTCAAAAACAACATCGAATATAAAATTATCAAAATCTCAAGAAACGACAATTAGATTAACAAAACAAATTCTTATGTCATCTTTATCAATTGAAGAACAAAGAAGAATACAGGATTTATTAGCTGAAAATGAATTTAAAATATATCAAGTTTGCCAATTAAATAATCAAATATTTACAAAAAAAAATTTTACAAAATCGAAAAAATAAATGATGGTAGCATAGTTTATAATGACAATAATAACTTAATTCAAATTGATTTTATTAATTATATTATTGAATTTGAAACGAAACAAACTAAATTTTTTGTTATGCCTGCTGAAAATATAACATATAAAATAGAAAATATAACAGGGATTTATAAGAAATAAAGAATTAGAAGAAAATAAACAAGCATACGATTTATGTAAAACGTTTCGCAGTCTGCGAATGCTTCAACATATAATAATCGAAAATTAATAAATGATAAATGGCGAGTTCCACCGGTAAAATACCATCTTTACAGCGAAGTGTGGTGCATTAGTCGAGACCTATCTCATTCGGAAGAGCATCAAATTCTGAGCCAGGAAATGTATTTTTAATTTTCTAAGTCGATGCGAACAGGTCCGGGACCGGCTCGGGGGGTTTCAGTTTTTCCACGTTCCAGGGGGAAATTGCACTGTAATTTTCTCGGCCAAATCAAAACCTACCGAGCTGAGACTTTTACCAAATACATTTTGATCATTTGTAAGTCGAATGGCGAAAGAACGAAGTCTCCATCACGTACCTGCCGCATCCACCGTCGATTTCAAAATTAGCGAAAACGCGGAAACGAACCATTTTGAAACGCGTTTTTCACCATGAAGACAAACTCGTAGCACAAAACCAAGTAGTACATTGGATTCAACGCAGTTTACTGTATCTAGAACAACGTCTTTTAAATTTTTATTGCATTTGCAGAAGGCGCTAGAGAGCGATCTTTACGAACCGGTACAAGGATTTTCGCGTTTTCGGCGAACTTATAACGCGTTTTTCAGGATCTTATCCCTACTTTTCGAAATTCGGAACGTCATATTCAGAATCAGCGTACTCGATTCTATATAAATCCGTCGAAAACTCAATATGTATTTCTTCCCTCCGGAGTTATAGGGTTCTCAAAACTCAGGTTTCCTAGAAAACCTAGTGACCTCTAGGACAAGCCAAAATTTTTCAAATTTACGTATTCTGGACGCTCGTAGAATTCTGAGTAAAATGAGATATTTTGCGGATTTTTAAGTTCAAAAATCATGAAACTACATGCTATTTACTTTAAGGGGCGGGATGTTTCCAAAAACCTCAACGATTTGCTTTCAAACTCGACACTTTAAAGTAAATAGCTTGTAGTTTCGTGATTTTTGAACTTAAAAATCCGCAAAATATGAAAAAAGAAGAAAAGCTTGAAATTTGAATAATGTCTATATATAAAATAAACAGCCTAAACTTATATAATAAGCGTCTAGTCTCTAGATATGTGTTAGCTGCCGTAAGAAAGGCACCGAGCTTTCTAATATGTAGAGGTGTCCTTTAGATACGAACTTACCTTTTGCTCGGGCGAAGCATAACAGATGTGGTCTTGCCAGTTTTATCGTAACTGTACTTTGATAGCACAACATTCTCTGAAAGTTTCGTCGAGTTCGGATATAAATTGATGGAAAAAGCTGCTGACATCGAGGCACCTTAATTCTACTTGTCATTTATCTTTAGGGACCTTACTACCAATATGATCACTACTCCTGTATTGACTGGTATTCCTTCTACTAATATTATTGGCCATTGGCTTTTACCTAGTGCTATTCCTGATGCTGATCCACAGTTATTATTATTATTCAACGAATTTATTTTGTATACTATCAACATTAGTTCTTCTATCGAATGGACGGTGAATCAAAAATTATCTAATATTCAATTAGAATTTTTAATCCGTTCACTCAGTTTTCATTTAGATGTTGTAAATTCAACAACTATCGCATGTGTAGACAGTCAAATGACGATTTCTGTATTTAATCTATATTCCAATATTCTTACATTGCAATTTGATTTACGTTCTGTTTATCCTGATTATCCACGTATGAATGATGAAATTCCAAATAATCTAGTAGGCAATCCTGAATATCTCTATGTTACTACTTCGACCAATGTTGAACCGTTTGACCAGCAATATCTTTTTCGTATCGCTTTGAATAATGATATACCAGTTGGCATTGTAGTATTTAACGATGAAAATTTTGGTTTAAATGAATTGGTTACTTCTACTGTTAAACCACCATTTGATATTGTTTATTCATTTGAACGATTATACGAAGCAGAAGATTATTTTAGCATTTATAAAATTGGAACGAATAATAGTGCAATCATCCGTCTTTGAACAACATCTTATTTTTCTTTTCTCCTTTTCATATATACCTTTCTGAATTCGGTTTCTTTGCTGGTGTTTCCCCTTTTACTTGTTCTCATACGTTGAATGATTTGTCATTTACGTTTTACTTTTCTCAACACCCAGTCACAGTTTTTCCATAGGCCGGCCGGACATTTGCCATACAAGCAGTCCGAAAGTCTATAAACACTTTTTTGATAGGTTTTCAGATATGCTCTTTCGATTGGTGTGCTTTACAAAGTTCAAAGAGACTTTCATCTGCGTTCTCCATTGATCAAGTCTCTAGAAAACCCGCACATAAGTATTCTGGAACTTTATAAAGCGCACCATTGGAAGGAGCATATCTGAAAACCTATAAAAAATTTGATTATAATTGCAGCTGTTTTAAACTTCATTTTATTTAGTTGATATTTCTTAGGTTAAAGGTCGAAATATCAACTAAATAAAATAAAGTTTAAAACAGCTGCAATTATAATCAAATTTTTGATAAGTCAGTCGTTACCCTCAAACACTATAAAAAAACTGTTTGTAGGCTTTCGGATAGCTTCTATAGCAAATATCAGAATCCTTAGCCAAAATTGTTACGCTATGCTTCGACTTTAGCGTTTCGATAGATCCAACAAGTTTTTGCTCAGAAAAATCTACTAATCGCACATCATTCAACGTAGTTTCTTGCGCTGATTCTGAATATGTCATTTTTATTGAATAAAAAACATTTCTGGGCCCGGATAAATGGATAATACCTGGAAAACCTAGAGTTTTTCGAAAGTCTACCGTGCGGTCCAAGAGTGTTTATGCACTCATCATAGACGTAAGGCATATAGGAGAACATTCAGTAAAGATTTGGACGAGTTTTGAATTGGGCTGTGGAGGGCACACCCATTTTACTGAAAATAGCCGTTCGGAAAACCACTTAGAGAAAACGTTTACTTTTTTTATCAACAAACTCCATCCCAGATTAAGAATTTTGTTTACTTATATATACTAAACGATGCGGAGACTCAGAATTTATAACGCATTTGCTTACCAGATGTTTATTTCTGTGTAAAACTGATTTTTTGTCGATGACACTCTTTTCAGGCTAATTTTTGAATAGCTGATTTTCCCATCCTACATAATTTTTGTAATAAAATTTTTTATGCCATCAAATAGAGCATCACTTGAAGTATATCTAGCACTATCTGAATCGTTGCAAAGTCAATTTTCATTTTTTCACCTAATGTCAGCCTGGATGCACACTGTGCCAGTGGAGACTGGCCATGCACACTGCTAGCCAAGTGTTGAATACAATTATTGGTTCATTCATCACTTATTCAAACAAAATTCCGCATTCATTTTTCAGTTACTGTTCGCCGTAACTGCAATAGTTTGTGTTTGACAAAAGCGTTCCCATTCCCGTTCAAATTTTTGCCGAATCAACGTGAACGGGTACAGGCTTATTCGTAAATCCAGAACGACTCGAAATGTGCCATCTGCATTGAATTCTCGAGCAGTAAGACCATTGATTTGTTACTTTAGCAGCATTGGATTCAGTAGTAATTAATGTTTCTGTCTTTTGATGAGATTTCTGAATATTTATTTCAGGATAATGAACTTATGATTAATTCATAATTCGTCAAATCTTTGAAGAATGTTCACACTTTGAGTTCTGATGAGGAATGAAATACATCTTATAAAGATTTTTAGTGAGTGTGAATCTAGGGGGAAAAAGCAGAAAAAAAACGAAATATTCTGTTGGATAGAACTCGCCAAAATGGATTTAATGAGATGTGTGTCCACTCAGCTCCAATGAGTTACGGAGGATGAAAGCTCATTGGAGCTCAGTGGAACTAAATGGAACTGAGGGGAGCTCATTGGAACTCATTGGAGCTAGGTGAAGCTGCTTGGAACTCATGTGGAGCAATCGGGTACCACCGGAGCTATGGAACTGCTTTTCCCCCCTAGATTTTGGTCCTTCGACAAGCTGGTTTTAAGTGAACGGCAGTAGACGTTGTCAACGGTCAACTTCTTCGCCTGCATCTCTAGACTCTGTACGTCCGCACAGTTCCTTCCAGATTTTTGCAAATGTTTTATTTTTTCTACGCATATATCCAATCTTTACAGGATTTTTAGTATTTTTCTAATATCTTGAGAAGGAACCACGAAAAATATCCAGGGAAATGTCAGTTTGTTCTTCTTTGTTAAATTAATTTGCATTAATTTAAATTAAATTTTGTGATTTATTTTTATATTTATTCACAGATTTAAATTGATACGCATTAATTTTGAACAAAAAAAAATTTTTTAAATTAACGTGAACGGCTTTCCTTTTAAATTTGTTCAAATTCCTTTAAATCTCGAAGTTAGTTTGCGTTAATTCGAAAGTATTTAAAAGTTGCAATGGGTTCGTAATGGACAACAGTAGATTACGATTAAACGCTTACAAATAATTCTGAAAGAGCACTTCATATTCAATCGAAATACAAAAGCTCAGTCTTTTATGTGCTTGTTTATATCATGAAAAAAAAATTGGAAAAACATAGTAAAATCAGTGGTAAGTAGTGGAAGTATTTCCATACAATCATACTATGGGATCTGTAAAAACGTTTAGTTCTATTGTTTTAAATAAAGATAAATAGAAGTTTGTAGAGAATTCAACGACGCATCTTTTTAAAAAAATTCAAGATTTCATGTTTTGTGTGTGCTCAGATATAGGCAAAATAAAAAGTGTCGCAAACATTTTGGCACACTTGGTATAAGTGGTGAATAGGCTTTTTAGTCTGTCGCACACGCTTGTTACATAGGACAGAATGTTTGTCACGTCATTTTTTTAAGAAAAGTTGTCTATCCGCCGTCGTAAGCCACGACTTACGTTGTTCAGACTTCAAAACAATCTCGACTTTTTTCGAACGGAGTTTCAAAAATTATGTTCTTTCTTAAGGAAAAATGAAAAAAGTACATTTTGACATAGGAGTCAGAAAAATTTTGTAGAAAATAAATACTTGTTTTACGTGAAAGTGGTAAAAAAGAATTTAATGGATTTGACAATCAGACAATTAGTCAATGAAGAGTTAAGAATGAGCAACATCGCTTGGTTTTTTGTGGGTGAATGTTCTTAATTCTAGAAAAATATATTTTAAAAACTCAAGGTTGGTTGAAGTTATCTACTAGAATTTGCTTGTTCTTCAATTTCCAAGATCATTTCAATAGAAAATGTTATCTTGTGATTGAACTTTTGTCCCAATTTGTGGGTCAATTACGTTGTTGATGAATTGACTTTTAACAGAACAGTCTTGAGTAATTTGTCGAAAATTATTGTTTCTGTTTTTATAAGCATAATATCCAGTTCCAGATGGACAAACCATGATATAATAATTATTTTTCAATTTAGCTTGAAAAACACATGTGACCCATTGCATTATCTTATTAGAGTTTGAACACATCACAAAACTTTTGGCAATTACAATACCATTATCGTCTAAAACGTATGCAGACATTTGGCCTACAAAAGTAGATTGCACTTGAATTGAATGTAGTCTGATAGGATTCGCGATTTGAATGTCGATTGAAAGTCGATACGTGGAAAGCAAACAGAAACAGTAGTTGTAGACGAAGTGGAGGAGGAAGATGATGATGAATTTTACGATGATCAGGTAGTTGAAGAGACTGAGCAACGAAATAATTTAAGAAATTCAATGGAAATTAGCAATGAACAATCATCACCTCCGACTTTCTCTCGAAACCGAGCAGTGTCACCAGATAAAAGAAATGGATCAACGACTGATGTTCGTCCAGCTAAAAAACGTTCGTCATCGAGGAAACGTACTGTTGTCAAATAAAACATTCAAATATTTATAATATGTCTGTCTATAACCACTTGTACCTTCAACAGGATACTTGATTTAATATAAAAAGTGTTTCTTTTCAAGAAAGATTGATTTTAATAAAATGATAGTATAATTAATTACTTTGATGGTAATAATTGCAAGCAATTTTTCAACATGTTCCTGAGGTTGTGAAAGAAAGTTTTATAGCTTATTTTGTAGAGAATTGCGCGCTCTACAAGACGCACTAACTTACATTTTGTGGGAAATCTAATGGACGGCGAAAAATAAAGTTTATTGGAAAAATTTTGTTTTTAAAATTACTAATTTTTCAAATAGTAGGCTTCTGACAAATCCAGTTTCCGTTCGAAAAAATTTAGAAACATCTGATTTTGTTCATTTTTTGATGGACTTTCGAATGAGACGTCGTTCAAATAGAACGGATAAAATTTCACAAAGTTATAGGCAAAATGTCACGGACCTCACTTTTTTGAAAATCTTCGATACACCTAATTTTATAAATTCTATAACTCGGCGAAATCAAGTCCAAACGACCTTAAAATTTTTTCATAACCCCACTTTTGATCATAGAATCGAAAAATAGAAAAAAAAATATAAGTCAAAAAATTTCACTTGACAGCTTTTCTCGCTGGGCTGGTAAAACGTCTCTTAATTCACTTTCGATCTTTTGATTCTTCCAGAAATTAATTCTGTTTTGAGTTGCACATTTCATATTGTTATAGTGAGTTTGTAGTTACCTATATCTGATGAATCGTGAAATAGCTAAAAAATTTGGCTAAAATAAATTTTCCAGTAGGTATGGTAAAAGAGTAGAAAAAAAATGAATTCGACTTGTGGAAATTTATTTATTATGTATCTATTTCCATTGTTTTAATTTTTCGTTACCCTTTACCTCGACAACTGACCCATTGGACAACTCGGCAGTACGTTTAAATTTAACATGTCATTGTTTACTGAACATATACAATAATATTCCAGAGATCTTAGGGGTACCCCCCCTCTTTTCTTACCCTCTTGGAAACTAGGGAAGCCGATGTCGGATCGGGTTCTAATTTATACCAGAGACAGAACATCGAAAAAGAAAATCGATCTATTTTTGCCTAGAATTTTCTGACGTGTTCTTCGATGATTTTTCTGGGAAACTTCAGCTTTCGTTGGCACACATTACGATCACTCGAAAAAATGGTCCGATCGAGCTCAAAATTTTACCACAGATACTTCAGACCCATCTCAAGTTCGGTTTTTTTCTTTTCGAAAGATATTCTTTCCTTCTTGAGATATCCGAAAAATACTGAAAATCCCATATAAAAAACCGGTTTTTTATTCTGTAAACCTTCTGACGCCGAAAGTTGAAGTTGAAAACGCTTTTTAAAACAACCGAACCTGAGATAGGATCTGGAGTATCTGTGGTAAAATTTTGAGCTCGATCGGACGATATTTCGAGGGGTCGTAATGCGTGCCAATTGAGGACTATTAAAAAAACGCATTGTGAGAAAAACACTTATTGTGCACAGAGATCTGTTTTTCAGGGCATTTGCGGCAATGCTTATATCTTTAAGAAAACTCATCAGAAAATTCTGGAAAACATCTTATTTTGAACAGCACACTTTCTTCTATCGTGCTATATATAAGAAAGAATTTTGAATATATAGAAAAGGAGAGAAAAATTTACGAATCTAAAAGATTGAGATTTTCTAGGCCTTCAAGGAAAAACTTAAAAACTTCCTAATTTTGTCAGGGAAGGTCATGGAGCGCTGGGAGTGGTCTCATTTAATAGCCCAGACTTTCCTCTACATTAGACTATGTTCAACTCAAAATGGCAATTTTTCTGCAAAAAATAGGGGGGTGGAGGTACCCTTAATATTATATGACTTGACGGTTCGACTAATGCGTATTTAAATACAACAGAACATCTACATTGTATCTATTCTAGTTTAAAAACATTCACAAAACAACAATATATGAAACATACATTTCTTGATAGTTTTTTACTTGTAACACAACACACAGATTGCTTGAAAGTATTTTACATAACACTCGTACGATATATGTTTGTTTATATTCGTATCTTTAATGAGCGATATGAAGGTTCATCTACACATACCTTGTTACGACTTTTACTTCCTCTAAAGGTCTGGTTCGAACATCCTGTCGATACAAACCGAAAGACTCGAAAGAAGTTGGTGATCTCACTAAAACATTCAATCATCGGTAGATTTTATGACCGCTTTTCTGAATGTAGAAAATGCCCGAAACAGTTAATATTGTTCCACATTTGCTTTTGTAGAAAGGATTTTAGTTTTTTATCTCCAGTTTCGTGTAATAGTTGCATTATTTATCATCAGAAATAAAAAGGTAAGCAATACGACTCACCATACTTACTTGTTTCGTTGCCTTCATGTGTGTCAAACGATTTGCTTTCTTTTACCTTTTTTCAACAGCATCCACTACTTAAAACTCTTCAGGAACCTACGAGAAGCCCACACGATTTTACATTTACATTTTCAGAACTCAATTGAATCGAAATTTCTTTCTAACAATATGTCAGAAGCTGCTGCATCGTTATCAAGTCCATTTTCAACATTAACTGCTTTTTGTGGTGTTTCGTTAAAACTTTGTGAATTTCTTCTATTGTTTCTTTATGCTGTTCAAGCAAGGCTATCGTTTTGTTTGGTAAATTTTGGATTGATGATAACTTATCCACTGCTGATACCATGATGATGAAAATGCTTTCTTATTATTTGTGATTGTTCTTATAAAATAATTCTCTTTTACACATCTTAATATAAAACATTCTTATCTGTTCTTATTGTTCCTTTTTTTCAATAAATATAAGTGCTTTTTTCCTTTGCACTAAAATACTGAAATACTATCATTTTATACTTACCGTTTGAAGAATTTATTTTTCTTTCGTTTCTTTTCTGAAAATTTATAGTATGTGCGACAATCATAACAAACTGAGCCCGTGCACAGATGATTTTTCCTCCCTCCCTTCAAGTTGATACTCTGTTACTTTGATCCACCATTTTCTCTGTAGAAAATATGTCTCTAGCAAAACCAACTGGATTTTTGGCCATATGGGGCGACCAGTCAGTGTTTCTTCGATGGTTACCTGTACTGAATGCAAGCAAATATGAAATTTGTATTAAATCAGAAGATACCAGGGCTACAACGTTTGATTATACTACAGAAACATGTTTTACAAAAACCAGTTTGGAAAATGGAAAATGTTATTTAGCTCAATTAACGGCAATAACTGACGATAGACATAGTGAACCTTCGATCATTTTGAAATTTAAACCGAAATCTGGTGCATCTTCATCCAGTCTTTCGGTTAAGCGAGGTTCACAATCGGGCAGAATTAGTCTGAAGTGGACAAATGTTCCAGCTCACGCTGGATATAAAATTGAGCGATGTAACGTCAGCGATGTAGAAGGGTATGTTCTCATTGCAACTATTAGGGACACTGCAACTACAACATACGAGGATCAAACAAACTGTGACACGTCACAGCAATCTTGCTTGGGACACTTTTACACTGTTTCAACTCTTGATACAACATGGGCATCGAACGGTTCGATATTAAGTAAAAAAATATTTTGCACAGAGACAAGAGCACTGAATTCTCCCACTATTGCATCGGCAGTTTCATCGACGGTCGCTGTGCCGAAACTTAGTCCTTCAATTACTTTCGTTGCTCGTCCAGGCACAACAGAAAGTAATTTACAACCACCACGACAAAAGGCAGAGACTCATATAAATAAACAAGCTACTTCACAGCACATAACGGTAAGTGAAAAAATTATAAGAATTACAAGATAATTCAGCTAATATGTAAAGTCAAGTGTATGTTACCCATTTGGTCAAAATGTTCAAACGTTTTTTTTTTGCTAAGGACGCAGCCATTAGCAACAACACTTTGATTTCATTGATTGATGTTCGCATAGGGGATTTGACAACGGAAAAGGTAAGCCTTTTTAGAACAAAGTGAGGCAGATTTAGATAGCTTTTATTTTTCGTTAAGACTGACGTTATCGTTGTCTGTTCGTCATCCAAAGTTTTGTTAGAAATCATTTTTAAAGCGAGTGCAGGCTTGGTGAAAACATCGTATGACACTGAACATGCAAAAAACCCAAATTCTTCAGTTATCTCAGTTCAAGCTGATGGGCAACTTGGATCAAAAAAGATATATTTTCTTTCATGGCACCCAAATTCCGACAGCGGCATTCTTCGGAAATCAATTGAAACATTTGTCTCCAATGCAATGGAAAAAGCCTTTAACGAAAACTACCAGAGTATGGCATTCCCAGCCATCGGGTGCGGGCACTTTGGTTGTTCAGTTGATGTTGTCGCTCAGACCATGATCCAAGAAACTCACCGTCGGTTAGCAACTCATCCAATTTCTGTTTCGTTTGTAATACAGCCAGAACGAGTCGATATTTATAATGAATTTCAAAAACACATAAACGCATTGACCGCCGAGCTATCACGAGCACCACAACCTACAGAAATTAAGCCAGTATCGACAACGATTGGAAAAGGGACAATTGAAGTTGGAAAAGGAGACATTACAAAACAGAAGGTAAAAAAAACTTCTGCGTGAACCACACCAAGTGTGTACGCCTTTTTACATCAAGTAGTATTATAATAGTTAATGGTGCTGATCACGAATCATTCTATCGTCGTTTTGATCTGAGATCGGGTCTTGGAACCACCAGGTCTCTAGAAACCGGTGTCAAAGAAAAATCTGCGTTTGACGTCAGTCGTAGGATAGATAAAGCTGCCTATGCCTCATAACCTCTAATTGTTCTGCACATGGTAAAAAGACGAAGTAAGTTGGTACGCTGCTTTAACGAAACAAAATATCGAAGTGAAGCAATAGAAAAACGTACTATAGAAGACAGTCGAAATACAGGCAGCTTTTTATAATCCACAAAATGACCGACTCATAGAAGTCTCTGAACGTTTAGAGTCTGATTTTCTGAAGATTCGGTTCCCAAAACTTGACTTTAAGAACAGAAATCCCTTACTCAGAATTAGTATCAAGATGCGTAAGTGGATGTGTTTTAAAGAAAAAAGGGACTTGTATAGCTAGAAGCACACTCCCGGGCGTCTCAATTGACCCGCTCTATAACTTCTTTTATGCAATTTTATCTTTACCACCGGCATTATTTTGTCAAAATTCAAATGATGTTTCCTTTTTTCGTGTAGGTCGATGTTATTATTGCCAGTTCATCATCTGAAATACTTAAACAAATAATAATAAACGCGGGTGGTGCGGAATGTAAGGCTGCCTACGAGACTGAATATAAAAACAATCCAGGTTCTTTACTGATTACAACCCCGCCCGGTAAGTTGCCGTGCAAGCGAATATTTTTCCTCAAATGGCGACCTGATAAGGACGAAGCCATATTGCGACAGTCAATCGTGGATTTCATATCGAATGTCATTCAGAATGCTATTTCATATAACTTCGCTTCAGTTGCATTTCCAGCTATCGGGTGCGGGAAACACGGCTGTTCAGTTGACGTTGTGGTCAAGACCATGGTAAAAGAAGCAAAAAAGCAGCTTACAATCAGAAATCTATCGCTGATAGTAAAATTTATTGTTCAGCCCGAACAGCAAAATATTTTCGATGAGTTCTGTAAACAAGTTTTAGCATCCCAAGGTAAATGCAAACATATACATCTCAGAAAAGGAATATTTACTCGATTTCTTCTGTCTTTGTTTTTAGATCATGCTCCTACATTGATGTATCACCAGCTGCCTGAGACATGGGAGCAAACTACTGAGAGCAAAATTCGTTTTAAACTACCCGTCAATTCAGCAGAATACAAATCAGTTTTCAGCGAATTTCTCCAAGCTATGAAAGGAAATTATTCTCTCGTCATACAAATTGACCGAATCCAGAACGAGCGATGATACATGCAATATTTGGTTCACAGGCAAGCTTTTAAAAAACGACTGAATACAGACACCGAAAAACGTTTGTATCATGGATGTTCAGAACAAGCAGCAAACTTGATTATAGAAGATTGCTTTAACAGAAGTTTCGCTGGTGTCAACGGTAGGCTTTGCCCCATTTCATCCGATGTTACAGACCTGTATATGCGTAATATTTTTTTCCGTAGGCACAACATATGGCGTTGGCGTTTATTTTTCTTCAAATGCTCTATACAGTCATGGTTATACTCGCCTCGATGCAGACGGAACACGGTGTATGTTTGTCTCACGTGTTTTAGTCGGGAAAACTACTCTGGGTAACAGTTCAATGAAAACGCGCCCCGTTGGATTTGATACAACAACAGATGGAAATCATATTTTCGTTACGTACCATGACGCGCAAGCGTTTGCAGAATATTTAATCACTTATAAATGAACAGACAAACGATATGAAGACAATGTTGCAAGTTTTTGCTCGCATTTAAATATCTTTTTGCTTGGTTGTGGGCGATTTTATGGCTTGCACACACAGTATAACGCAACCGTTGCGAGTTTTAAGAATGAATATTTTTTTTTTATTCTTTAGAGCGTATGTATGTACCTATCTGACATTCTACTGACGATTGCGTCTCTTTTTCTTGCTAATTTTGATGAAAAAATTGACAGTGACACATTTTATCTGCAACGAAAGGCTCTTGATGACATTCAAATTCAATCCTGCATCCATGGCAATCAATGCCAGGGTTGTCGAATGTTTTTTAAATAAATCGCTGTTCTACAATAATTGTATTAATGGAGTGTTGTTTAGCCGATTACGTAATTCTTTTGTAAGATAATCGCAAGGACAGCCATAAATGGCGTGCTCTTTAGTGGTCCAGCAAGCAGCACATCAAATTGGACGTTCCTTTCATGATATAGGGAGCTCGAATGATCAGAGATCAGTCCCGTTGAAGCAGCCTTTTGTATCGTAGAAGATAAAAACTGTGCTTTCACATCTGGTTCCTTAAGCATTGTATATAACTTAGTTGAAGAATGATATATCAGGATTTCGCTGTCGTCTGTCAGGTGAGCAAAAGAACCTGGATGACCGGCGTTCGGGCTAGTGCGAAGTGTCCACGTAACCCGTCCACACAAATCAGCATTTGAAAATTTTTTGATAATGTCTAGACGTCAAGTCCTGATGTACGACCGGATGCTGAACCGGAGGAGTAGACAGGACGGGGTGTCCAAAAGTCGAGGATGACGTACTACCCGTCGATAGACCGGTGTACAAATTTACTCATACGTCCGCACGTATAGTCTTGACGCTAGTCTAGACGTACTGCATGATGGTAAATTTGTTGAAAAATAATTGTTTGTGCACCCATGGCTTTCTTTGATTCGAGGCGTCCTTTCTCTGAAACAATAAAAAGCGCATATCTACCTTGTCGAGAGGTTTTAGAACCTTGTTCATCAATAACGATCGTAGATACAGACTCTCGATTACTCTGTACACAACAAAGTTTTGCGTCGACGTACAATTCGAAAAGTTTTCCCTATTTTTTTTTAAAATTTCTTTATAATGCTGGTATGAAGACTGGAATCGCAAGTCGTAATGAGAAAGTTGGCGGTAGCAGTAAAGAATACAATGGAAAATTCTGTTATATTTTTGCCATATATTTCGCACTCACTGAAGTAAACGGACGTACTATTTCTCTCTTCTGTACAATAGTAGCTCTACGTACATATATGTATGAGTGATTCTGATAAAAATAGTACCGTTCGAATGATGTAAATGATCTCATGCGTTTCTTTTCTAAGTCTTGATGAATCGCCTCCGGACTTCTTGCATATATTCATCAACGTTGGGCTTATAATCGCTGCAAGCACGACTTTTCTATGTTTAATCGTGAACGAATTATAAGCAAAACATTCACGTTTGACCGTTATTTTGATGTTGTCTTTCTGATGATTCAGATACGTTTGGTATTGTAAATGTTATTTTCTCTGTTATTTTATGTGGAGCAATATTTTTTTTCTCTCTTTCTTGTAGAATTTTCTTCGGTCTACTCAGTTACATCATTGTCTTTATTACTGATTGTTCTGTT